ACTACTATATGTTTACATATGACGTATACGTAAGTTAATCTAAGCTTTTTCATATATATATATATATATATATATATGAGCCTTTTATCACTCTACTCAACAAATTGACTTAAAAACCAACTCAACAAAATAGATGTAGTGAAATTGTAGTGGACATTTTCGTCCATTAAAAATACTTTTTGGGCATTAAAAAATGATTTTTGGGATACGGGGTTTTCTTCTCCATCTCTATCTCTAATGTATAAAAGTAGTTTTGTGTACATAAGATCTTGAGCAACAAGCAGATACAATGGCTGGAAACTCAAATTTACAAATCATTCCACTTGCAAAAGAGATACATAATGTTGAATCAGGGCTTCAATAGCATGTTCCCTCGAAACACCAAAGCCACAATGAAACACAAGTTGAAGACGGGGTAAATAGCACGTTCCCCAGGAACACCAGTCGCTAAGCCTTAAAAGCCGCCAAAAACCACGTTTTCGGAGACACAAAAAAAGCTCCAAATTGATTTCTTACACCCTAAAAGCAGTTCTCTATTGGAACAAAATAAATGATTAGGAGATCCAAAAATGCCATGAACCTGCTGTTGAAATTAAATATGGCGTCTCTTTTATCATTGGGTAGAGGATGGGGGCATCAGAGGTTCTTAGGGGTTTCAAATTAAATCAAATTGGCAGAAGCACGTGATTGGCAACACCGAAAAGAAAACCCCAAAACTCTCACCAAAACTGGGTTTTTCTTGAATGATCATCCATGGTAGAAGTTGCAGAGGGGGGAGACTAGTTTATGGTTATAGGGACCTTCTTGATCAAGGGAAGACGGAGAAGGTGCACAGTTTTTTGGCACTTAAAAACTGTGCGGGAGTAGAAAACCCCATGCCCCAAAAAGCACTTCTTTTAATGCCCCCAAAAAGTTATTTTTAATAGACAAAAATACCCACTACAATGTCTCTACATCTATTTTGTTGAGTAGGTTTAGTAGAATGATAAAATGCTCATGTGGTGTGGGAGCTGTGAGCACCCTACATATATATATATATATATATATATGGGTTTTGTTAAGGTGAGCCTACTAGCTCACATAATAGTATAAACCCAATGATCCATATTGAATCTGAACTGATTTGAAGGCCGAGAGTGTTTAAATTTTAATTTTTTTTTCTACAAATCCAAATCAGTTGAAATTTTAAGTGACTATTCTTCTCATCAAGCCGCACCCAATAAAAATATAAAAAACATAATCCGCAAAATTAAAAAAAACCAAAATACCCCCAAAACTTTATGAGGGTATTTTGGTCATTTTTTTCATGTAAAATATTTTTTTTTAATATTTTTTCAATATTCATCTATTTTTTATCAACACACGTCTAAAATTTCAAGTGATTTGGATTTGTAGAAAAAAAAAAAAATTGACACTATAGGACATCCGTGATCGTTAGGTAGGCCCAGATTCAATCTGGCCCATTGGGCTCATTTTTTCTTGTGAGCCCATTGTCTCACAGAAGCTTTTTCCTATATATATATGGAAGATACTACAAAACACCTATAGGCGAAAATGAACAGTGATTTCACCTACCCTCATCATCGTCCAAAGTTCATCGCACAGCCACGATTGTCCGATAGTGTTTCATTTTTCATTTTCCATTTTTTTCTACAAATCAGAATGACTTAAAATTTGACTCGTGTGTTCATTAAAAACAGGCAAATCTACGAAAAATATCAAAAAAATATTTTACATGAAAAACATTGACCAAAATACCCGCACAAAAGTTTCAAGGGTATTTTGGACAATTGTTTTTTCGCGAATTATTTGTTTTATATTTTTATTAAGTGTGCCTTACTAAGATGTACACGAGAACCAAATTTAATATCATTCCGATTTGTAGAAAAAAATTGAAAAATGAAACACTACCGGACAATCGTGACCGTATGATGAACTTTGGACGGTGATGAAAGTAGACGAAATCACTGTTCATTTTCGCCTATAGCCATTAGGAAGACTTTTCATATATATATATGGATGGAGGGAGGGATGGCCGATGCTTGTAGAATATTAAATGTCCTACATGTATAACGGCATAAAAATCAGACGTAGAAATCTTGGTGCTCCTCCAAGACCACTAAGACTTGGTGAGCCACACAGAGAGAGAGAGCACCAAGGCACTACTGACACCGTGACTGCCCCCCACCACTACTGTGTTGGTGTGTGCAGTAGTGGTAGAGGCAGTAGCGGTGGAAAGGATCTCGCTAAAATTTTGGTGGTCCCGTAGGGCAACAGAAACTTTTTCCGACATATTTGTCTGTGTAGCTTGGTAAGCATGGTTAACAAGAGATGTGTCGCGGTCCAAACCAGAATAATAGACGCGCAAGGTAATTGCGAGTAATTGAGATGAGGGGCTGGAACTGCAGGGAAGTGTTATCGACTGTATCTTCATGATTCTTCTCCCCAGATTTTACAGCTGAGGCCATGCCAGTTCCAAACAGAGGGGGAGGCTTTGAATGCATTTTGGGGGAGAGCGTAGCAAGGAGACCGTGTACGACACAATGTATTATTTCTTCCAGTTCAGCCGAGGATGGTACTGAGAGCTCTGCCACCTGTGCATGAATTGCCAACCAATTCATCACTTACATGATTGGGGTTATGCACCAAACAAGGAACTGGAAAAACCAAGCGTAAAATCGGTTCCTCTAAAAACAATATGGCATCCAAGGTACTTACATAACCAAGTGCCATACTCATAGAATTCAAGTTCATGCATTTGTATACAGGTCCAACTAAGATCAATACAGAATTCATCAGCGATATAAATCAATACAGAATTCATCAGAGATATTTTTCTATGTACACTAGGAATTCTTGGCCACTGCCATGTCAAATATTATAAATTGTATTGCCTAATACCTCTTATATATGAGAAGGTGCTTTGGCAGTACCCAGAGTATCTAGAGTTAATGGATCAGGAAACATTAGCGACTTTCCTAGGGCTATCCATTTAATGTAGGACAATGTGAGTCAGTATCCTTTATGTTCTATTTTGGTTATAAAAAACATCAATGAGCAGAGTATGTAAAAGAGGAGATGGCATTGGGAGGCGCCATGAAGAATGACACTACCATGAAGTAACACGTTAGATGGGATTGCAAGACCAACTGTACATGTAAGCCCTTACAGATGGGATTGCAAGACCAACTGTACATGTGAGCCCTCACAGAGCATATTCATCCATAGCCCACATGAGATCCCATGAATGGCTTGAATTTCCTAATCCAGCAAAGTTCTTTGGAATTTCCCTTTTATTTGAATTTTACGATGTAGATGTTGAGGAGAAGAGTATTATTAAGACTAGATTCCTAATATAAAAGTGGAATGCCTAAGGTTTTCTTTCTCTGAAAAAAACAAAGTATGCGCACATGCAGAAGTTTGTTGCTCGATAATTTATAAGCAACTCATCCTAAACAAGAAATAATTGGTGTAGCAACAACCATGGTGCGGATACGATAAACTGACCGAAAAAGAAAAAAAATTTAATGAATAAATTAAAATAAATAGAAACAAATGATTGTCACAAAGGACCAAATGGAAAGTCGTAGTACACAGAAAATTAGTAAATGGAAATATGAAGAGAACTTCTATTGAACAAATTGGAAGCTAACAAATGTTAAAACACTATTAAAGGCAAATAAGATTCATGCAAAACATTTGCATGGCCTGCAATGCACACATGTAAGATTAATTGAATAGATAATAGAAATGTAACTACAAACTTATCAAAAAAAAAAAATAAATAAATAAAAATGAAGGCATCTTGGTCTGCAAATTCCGAATGATCAAAACAAGCATAATAATGCAGACGGGCAATTTCACGATGCAGATCAGTGCAAAGCAATGCACATGTGTGCAATGGTTGGCACACGTTTAGTAGGAAAGCATAGGATAGAAATGTAAACTTTCGATTATTTTATGTTCATCATTATCAGAACCAGATACTTCAATCAGAGAATCAGCACACGGAAAAAAGACACAGAACCTTAGGAAGATGACTTCAAGGGCCAGCAAAATGCGTTAAGAGAGCTATTTTAACAAAGATGACACAAAGTCAAATGCTGAGATGTATGGATGTAAAGAATTAAATTGGTTTCCATTACGAGTTTTCTTTCAATTAAGAAACCCATAAGAGTGGTTTTCTCATTCTTTAATCAATAGTTTTCTTTTTTTGTAACTATTCACTGTATTAAGTATCAAGTAAAAGAGTTAACAGCATATTTGGAGCTCACAAAAAATAGCCTACCCTAAAAAAAGGGTGCCCTGTACAAAAACCCTCTAGGGGTGCAAAAATCAATCAATCTATACAATGAATCACAGTTACTATCTCAGTATCACCAAAAGGTGTAAAGCAGCCCTGTTGAGGGACTGTTTGAGGCACCTAGCATAGCACGGAGGTCAGCTTCAGCATTTGCTTTCCCTCCAAATGTGTTTCCAAGTAACAGTGAGGGAGCTTCACTGTGGCATCCATGTACCATAAGATCACCTCTCCCCCTTATAGACCCTTTGGTCGTGCTTCCGGTCTTTGGAAGTCCATAAACCATAGCCGGAAATCAGTCCTTGCCAGCTTATCTTCGCTAGAGGGCGGAAGGAAAACTTTGTCAAGCACGGCTGACATGGCAATAAACTCCTGCAGATCATGATCCATAAGGGCTCTCCTGAAGACTAGGCTCCATGATCTAATGGGGTTATCCATGGGGAAGCACAGTAGCCAAATGATCCCTTGCTACTCGATAAAGAGGGAAATAAATTTTTGACATCCGGAAGTGGTGCTTGGATTTTCCAGATGTCAAGACCCCCTTGGGCAACAGGTGAACACACCTTGTCACATGCAATAAGGTGGTATTTCCGACCCTCAGTACCAGACCAAAGGAAATTTCTCATTAACTTCTCATCAATTTTGCATACTGCCACCACTTCCCTAGCAATGGAAGGTTGTTTGCTTGGATTTTCCGGATGCCAAGACCCCCTTGGGCAATGGGTGAACACACCATGGCCCATGCAATAAGGTGGTATTTCCAACCCTCAGTATCAGACCAAAGGAAATTTCTCATTAACTTCTCCAATCTGGCCACAACTGCTGCAGGCATATGGAACATTGACATCTCAAAAATGGGGATGCTTGAGAGGGTAGCCTTATTGAGGCTTTTTACGACCCACAAAGAGAGGTATGTACGCTTCCAGCCTGCAAGCCTTCTGCCGAACTTGTCAATGATGTGACTCCATTGTTCGAATCTTGGTTCCCCTAGGCAAAGGGGCAGGCCAAGGTATGAGAAGGGAGGTCTTCTGCTACACAACCCCATCTAGCACCAAGGAAATGAACAACTACGGTCTCCATACAGACCCCCATCATCTTTGTCTTGGTCAAATTGACCTTGAAGCCCATTGCGAACTCTAAGAACTTCAAAAATAAAAAGGAGGGAGTCAACTTGCTCCACCGAGGCATCACATAATAGTAAAGTATCATCTGCGTACTGCAGATGGGAGATGGAGAGACCATGAGGTGAGGATTTGAAGCCATGGAGGTATCCGGCCCCATAGGATCTCGATATAGACCTACTGAAGACCTCTGCTGTGATGGCAAAGAGAAAGGGGGATAATGGGTTGCCCTGGAGGCGGCCCCTAGAGGAAAGAAAGAAACCAACTAGAGAGCAGTTTAGGAGGACCGAGAAATGGGGATTTGAGATGCAACCCCTCATCCAGAATCTCCAACGCTCTTCAACCCCATTCATCCAAAATGTCCCAACTAACATGATCGTAGGCCTTCTCCCAATTGAGCATAATAATAAGCCCAGGAGTCTTTGAAAGCATGAGGGAGTGGATGCATTTGTGTGCAATGAGTGCCCCGTCAAGGATTTGCCTATCTTTAACAAAAGCCCACTAAGAAGGGGAGATAACCCAGCCTAACACTTCCTTGAGTCTCGAGGCTAAGACTTTGGATAAAAAGGAAATATTGATAAGGCCGATGGGCCTGAAGTCTTTTAGTTCTTCGGCTCCTTCGATTTTGGGGATGAGGACTAGGAAAGTGGCATTCATGGCCTTGTTGATGATGCTCCGAGAATGGAATTCAGCAAAGAAAGATAAGATATCGGGTATAAGGAAATCCCACAAAGCCTTGAAAAAGGCCATTGGGAAGCTGCAGCCCTGTCTTGGCTGATACTGGTGCTGGCTTTCCAAATTTCTTCCTCTTCAAAGGGGCATTCCAGCCATGAGACCTGGTTTGGAGGGAGGGACAGGAAAGAAAGGTCTGCCATAATGGAACGAGGGGTAGATGGTGAGATGAAGGAGGAGGAGAAAAGCCAATTACTGCTTGTTCGATGAGATGAGACTGGTCTAGGACCGAGATGCCCACTTTGAGTTGGGAAATGGAGTTGTCCCTCCTACATTTTGCAATGCGGTGTAATAAGGCCATGTTGAGGTCCCTGTGGTTGAGCCATTTGATTCTAAATCTTTGGGCCCAATAGATCTCCTTAAGCAAGAGAAAGTGGTGTTCCAATTTAGATTGGGCACGAGATTGCCTCTCGTCCAGGGATAGAATTCTACTTTCTTCAATCATGTCCCAAGACTGGATAGAGCGAAGGAGCTCCGTTTTAGCCGCTCAAAAGTTGCCAAGGAGTTGGGACTTCCACAAATTTAGCTGATCAAAAGTTATTTGGTCATTTGGATATCCCTAGCTGAATATTTTTCCCAATGAGTCCCAAGTAGATTACATTTTGGAACTATTAAAGAATAACTTATGTATTGGGGCATTTCTATCATACAATACTTATTTTCATCAAGGGTATTTTTGTCCTTTGTAAACCTAAACAAACATTATAAATAAAGATATTAATAGGACATGGGGTGACTGAATCTCATGTCTCTCTCTCCTCCCTCTCTTTCATCTTTTATCTCTTCTCTTTCTTTTCCTCTTCTTTCCCCTTTCTCTCCAGTTGACACTTTTTACTGCTCAGCACTATTCATGGCAATGTTCACAGTACTATTCACAGAGAAGGAAATTAAAAGAAGGATGATCACCAGCACCTCAAACAGCCGAACGATCTTCATCTTTTTCTGCAGATCCTCATCATGTTCCTGAACCTACTCCCGAAGTTGAAAGTATTGATCTTCAAAATGGCACTTTCTTCCATTTGTGTACCTAAATCTTATCAGTAAGCTCTTTGAAATGCTGAATGGAAGAAAGCTATGGATGAGGAAATGGCTGCACTTGAGTCAAATGGTACTTGGGAGCTCACTGATTTGCCAGCAGGACAGAGACACGTTGGGTGTCATTGGTTACATACCATTAAGTACCAGCTAGATGGATCTATAGAGAAATTAAAGGCTAGACTGGTGGCAAAAGGATACACAAAAATTTGGTTTTTTATTATTTTGAGACATTTGCTCATGTGGCCAAACTTAATTCCGTTAGGGTACTTATATCTATGGTAGCAAATAAGGGGTGGTTATTATGGCAACTTGATGGTAAGAATGCCTCCCTCCATGGCGATTTACAAGAAGAATTCTATATGGAGCAAGAGCAACCATCAGGGTTTATTTCTCAAGGGGAGTCAAACAAGGTATGCAGATTAAAGAAAGCAACCTATGTCCTCAAGCAGTCACCACGTACATGGTTTAAGAAATTCAGCGTACTTGTCATAACATATTGGTTTCAGCGGAGCCGTGTGGATGATTAAGTATGTATTAGAAAACAAGCTGCTAGACCTATTATCTTGGTTGTTTACGTTATTATTATAGGCATTGATCAAGACGGAATTCAGAAGATGAAAAATTATCTGCAATAGTATATTCAGACCAAGGACTTGGGGCAACTGAGGTATTTTCTTAGGATTGAAGTAGCTTAGTCACAATATGGTATTAGTCTATCCTAAAGGAAATATGTAGCTGATTTATTAACAGAAACATGGATGTAAGGAGCTAAACCGGTTGATACCCCCATAGATCCAAGTTCCAAACTTTCAATGGATCAAGGAGACTTACTAGAAGCATTGATTCAAAACAGCAATCTGCCCAGCGCCTAGGCGGGCTAGGGGACCTGGGCAGACCAACAAGGCAGTTTGTCCTTGGGGCCCCACCTAGGGACACTAGACGCCTGCCTAGTACCCCGCCTAGGCGAGGGGTATCTAGGGTGCCTAAGTGGGCGCCCAGGGGACTGAACCCACCTAGGTGCAAATTACCCATTGGATGAGGTAATTTTGGTATTTTTTTTGTTTGGATTATACATGCATTTTTTATACAAAATTTGGACCTAAAACATGATTATTCGAAAACCCTTGCCCCCTTTTGAACCTAGTCCACCCAAAACCTGGGCGCTAAGCGACCTAGAACCCCTCCTCAGGGAGCGCCTACGGGCCCCCCGACATTTTTGGAGAACACTGAATAGAAGATCCTGACATATATAGAAGACTTGTAGGTAGACTTATCTACCGAACAATCACTAGACCAGATATGGTCGTCTTTGTTGTGAGTGTGGTAAGTCAGTTTATGCATTCTCCTAGAACACCACATTGGGAAGCAGAACAATTGTGAGATACCTGAAGGGAGCCCCAGGCTGAGGACTCATCTACAAGAAGAATGGCCACTTCGGTATTGAGAGTTATTTTGATGTCGATTGACACGATCACCTTCAAATAGAAGATCTACTATGGCCTACTGCACCTTTATTTAAGGAAACTTAGTTACTTTGGAAAAGCAAGAAACAAAATGTGGTGGCCAGATTTAGTGCAGAGGCTTAGTATAGAGATGGCTCATACTACATGTGAGTTTAAGTGGCTGAAAATCTTGATGCACGACATGGGTTTTCCATTTACTGAACCAATGAAGATGTTATGTGACAATCAAGCAGCCATTCATATTGCGAGCAATCCAGCTTTTCATGAAAGAACAAAACATATTGAAGTGGATTATCACTTAATTCGTGAGAAAGTGACCACAAAGCAAATAACAACCCCATACCTGAAGTCATCAAGGGGCCGTCACTTGGTGTGACGGTAAAAGGCTCGGGTAGCCAGTGTAAAAGCGCAGGTTCGAGTCCTCAGAGCGGCCACTTTGTGCATAAAAAGCCAAAATTATGACCGTTTCCAGCTCACCCCTCTTGGGACCCTGCGTAGGCAGGACCAGCACCAAGTTACGACCTTTTATACGTGAAGTCATCAGATCAATTGGCTGACATATTCTCCAATGCGCTTAGTAGTAACCAAACTCAACATATTTGTTCCAAGCGGGGCATGCTTGACATCTATTCCCCAGCTTGAGGGGGAGTGCTAAAGAATAACTTGTTTTGTGTATTGGGGCATTTCTGTCATTTTTATACACTTTAGGATACTTATTTTCACTAAAGGTAGTTTTGTCCTTTGTAAAACCTAAACAAACATTATAGATAAAGATATTAATGGGCCAGGGTGACTAAATCTCATGTCACTCTCCTCTCTTCTCTTTCATCTTTTCTACCTTCTCTCTTTCTTTTCCTCTTCTTTTCCCTTTCTCTCTCTAGTTTTTGACACTTTTTACTATTCATAGTACTGTTCACAGGCACCAAGTTTGGTGGGACAAGATAATCCCAACACGCATATAAAAAGAGATATAATCCTGTTCTGAACATAAGTAAATTTTAGGGTTGGTTTTTTTCCCCAATCTTATCCTTCTCGATTTGAGTGAGGTCCATTACCATATCCAAGGGATTTTCTTATAAGTAATCGCATCACTGACAATTTCATTAGTTTGTTCAATTATTAGAGTTGTGTTTGCTTTGTGGAAACAGCAGTTCGCTTTCATTGCATGATTACAAGCATTATCAGCACATGACATTGGATTCAACAAGGGCTATAAGAGCATGAGACTTGCTCCCGTGAACTGCCTTACCTTTCCAAGTTGTAATTTTGTTGGAGACAATGAGAAGTACTCATCGATGAAAATGAGTGAATAGATAGTTTATACATAGTACAAGCATGACAATGATAGAAGAACCTTGAGGGTATTTGTAGAATAAGTGACCAAACTATGTCTACGGGACGACCACATAGAAACGAACTACAGAAATGAAATATCTACAATGTCCCAATGGACATGATAAAATGCAGTAAGAGTAATCCATCTCTTAGAAGGAAGTTAGGGGTTCTCTATCTTTATATGAGGGACACGTTCCCTTGTGACCTTTATTCCTTGTTTTTTTAATTAATTCCTTTCATCCTTCTTGTCCTTGAGTTTGTCATTTGGTTTATGTCTCTCATGCAACTTAAATTTAACTAATTGATGTATTCTTCTATAGCTAGTTACTAATAAAATACTTCATTCATGTCATACAAGTCACCACTCCAGGTCCCACGGTGGATTGAAGAGCATAAGGACAGAATAAAAATTCCTTCCACGTGTACATGAATATGACTACACAAATTGAGGGGGAAAAAGGTCTGCATTGTTATCTCATTTCCACTCCAAACTTGCAACAGACTACAGAAACCAAATAAATGAACGAACCTTTTCAGGCTCCAAGGACCTCAAGTAATGTAACAAGTCATTCTTTTCTTCCTCAACAACGTGTTGCATCTGCAGAGCAGCATTTTTTCGACGCAAATCACGCAATTCCTGCCAATTCAAATCAACCTTTCAGGAGGATGTACCATGGAAACTACAAAAAAGAAGGAATTATAAAGGTGAAGCAGAAAATATCAAATGCCCAGAAAAGGGCAACAAAAAAAAAAACAACCAGATTTCTGAATTCAGAAAACAATGATAAAATCGAAATAGTTGAAATAAAATGAAATAATTTAGAGATGAAAATCAATATACGGAATCAAGTAAATAGTACAACATTTACTATGAACGCGTCAAACTAAGTTGATAAAAAATGAAGAATGATATATACAACAGCTTCCATCATATAACAGAAAAACCCAAAATCATTTCAGCAATATCAGTAAACCAGAGCACATATCATTCACGGAACATTAAATTGAGGGCTAGCATTTATAAACCTTTGCACATTGTATTAGGGAAAAAAGGAAACAGATGAGCATCGCATTGTTATGTTTTGGGCATCCAATGATGTGAGTTGTTGTAGCTGCTAAATCCGGTGGAGCATCAATGGCATCGGACAAGGGGAACAAATTCCACCATTGAGCCCAAGATTGTTCCCTCTTAGTTGAACAAAAAGCATTCAATTAACCTTGCCTCCCAGTTACTAATGAGTATTAGAAGTCTTTGCACATCATATTAACAAAAAATCCCATAATCATTTCAGCAATATCAGTAAACCAGAGCACATATCATTCATGGAACATTTAACTGAGAAATAGCATTTATAAAACTTTGCACATCATATTAGGGGTAAAAGAGAAACGGATGAGCATCACATTGTTGTGTTTTGGCGATCCGATGATACCGGTTTTTGCAGCTGTTGAATCAGGTGGAGCATCAATGACATAGGACAAGCGGAACAAATTCCACCATCAAGCCCAAGATTGATTCCTCTTAGTTGGACACACAGCATTCAATTAACCTTGCCTCCCAGTTACTAATGAGTATTACACGTCTTGTTTAGTTTCTTAGGATTAATTTGCCGGTCTGGTATGCAACGTCAATCACTATTTCCCTGATTTTTGGTGGATCTCAAGAATCTCGTTAGGAGATTTCCTGTGAACTTCATAATTATCATAGAACCTATGGCAATTAGAATGGGGTTGTGTGAGATGATCAACTGGTAGAATAGTTGGGATATTGAATTTCCAAGGGGCAGATATCAACGTAGTTTTGATCCTTCAACTGACATGTCAGATTCTTAACCCCTGGCTCAATAGTTCATGCCCTATGTAAATACACAAAGAAAAGGTCCACCACAAGTATGCCGTGAGTTGCCTGTCAAGTTGACCTTCTTTGTAGTCCGGAACTTTAATGTAATATCTCCTCTCTCTTGATATTGTAAACTCCTCAGACAGAAAAAGCTCCCTGTGAACAGAACACGAGACACCGGACCCAGCCCCCCCCCCCCCCCCTACCATACACACACACAACCTCCGCCTCTCTTGGGCGCGAGGGGCGGGCAGTTGGCAAGGACAACTTTTGTGCAGGGAATGCTGAAAAGACAGAAGTTCTTTCATTGATCAAAGTGGCAATATCACATCCAATTCAGGCATTCCGATTCCACCGTGGAACATTAAGATAACTTATTTTATACACCTGCTTGCACAAAAATAACATCGATTCAGCAGAAATGGATAGCACTTATGTTGGATATGGTGAAAGAAAATAGAGGTCAGAAAGAATGAACACATATTTCAGTAAGAAAGGAGGTTCACTTGGTCTCATAGTTAGCTACCCAACAAAGACAAGGAAAGATCAATCGAACCTTTTGCATACCATTACCATGGCACATATGAAAATTGCTGATGAATTTGTCAGCACTGTGGATGTATATTGCCCGACGTAGTGAATGACATCTTACTTATCAAATGACTAGTGGAAAGCAATGATCAATGCACCATAACACTTACTAAAGAAAAGAACTAATCACTTATCAGTCATAAAAAATGGATTGTATACGGTGAGATAAAGAATGGATTGGATATACATGAGGTCACAAACGCCCCAAGTTTACGGAAATATTTCTCGGACTTCAAGCGCAGTCAATATTACATCCCAGCTACCCGATTTCACCTCTAATGGCCAGGGGTGATTGTGAACTTTTTGCAGCAAAGACCAATGGTCTTCTTTATACTTTCGCATAAATTAAGAAAACTATACTATAAGGAAAACAAGAATCCCAATGAAGCTGTTTCACTTGGTATATAAGAAAATTTGTGCTTACACTTTTCGCTAAAGATAAACATGATCTCAAGTGAGTAATGTAATCTCGAGCCTCAGGTGTCATCTCCGCAAGTCCGAACAGATTGATTTTCTCCTCAGATAGGTCATCAGGCTTTTCAGAAGTAAATGACAACTCCTTTCTACTGGATAAATGAAACATTCTAGAGTTCCTATCAAGCAACACATCATGGCAATCAAGTCTTGAATGCTCTAGTTTATGTTTTCCTAAGTAACCCTCAGATATATCAAGGTTTTTTTGGAGGAAAAGCTGATATTCCGCATTTCGCAAAGTATACCTGCCACAAAAATCATGCCAATAAATAACAATCAAGAAAAATAAGTAGACTTCAAGAAAATAGACATTCTCATTTTTCTACTCATGCAATAGGATGTGTATAAAGCTACAAGCCTCAAAATTTTGACAAACTTAGTGGGTAGGGGATTAGAGGGAGTCGGGATCCAGCAAGCACAAGAAGCTTTAGATCAACCAGAAGATGAGAACAAAAGAACAATGACACTAGAAAGCAGTGAAAGCTAGATGCAATCCAGATGCCACATGTCACAAGAACAATAAATTTACATCCCCTAAGTAATTAACAGCCATAATTACAAAGATAAAGGTCAAATTTAAAACCATACCTGAAACTAACAAATAGCTGTGATGCCAGATACCATTCTTGATATCCCATATAAATGGTTATGCCAAACAAATCAAGATACTTTTTTGCTACTCAATGAAATACTATTCGGTTTTCAAATGCAACAGATTCTATAAACTCTAGTCATGAGATCCCTGCATATTGCCTAACAAGAGATGCGATGGTATGGATGATCATGTCTGATTTTTTCTCACTTAAATGAAAAACAAAATCATCCACATGCACTATAGAATTTCCACGAACAAAGAACCAAAAACCAAATGTACGTACTGTTACAGATCCATCTGCGACAAGCAGAACACACATAGGTTACAAAATGTTGGAGCTGACCAATAAAGGCTAAGGGTCAAAACCCACAAAAGGGTCTTTGGGAATGAAACTTATATCTACCCAAATCTGATATAACTGAACCATCCATAGGTCCAACAGAACCAAAACAAAATAGCAGCAAGATAAATACTTATTATAGCAATGATGATTTCCCCACAATAGCAGTGGAGGGCAGTAGAGCAAATAGAAAAAAGCTACATTCCATCTAAGGAAAGGGTCAGACATTATGGGATGGCAAAGGATGAGAGTTTCCTTTTTATTTCTTCAGATAAATTAATTGATAAGAAATATGGAACTTCAAGGACCATCTGAACAAAAAGATATGAAAAAATAATAAAAATAACTTCAAAATATTAAAAGTAAATTCACCATTCAACATAACAGATGAGCTGATCAAGTTATTCATGGTTCTTTATATGTAATCCAAGAAATAATCTGTCAAACATCACCAAATCCAACATAAATTTTGCAGTATGTGTTTGTGTGCGTCATTAATTTGCACGCGTGTGTCCAACTAAATGATTACATACACCCCTGATCTAATTTCTACAGCATTAGTTCAAGAGACCAAAAATCTGCTTAAAAAAACTATCTAGGAGGGATTTGTTTGACCCAAATGTTAGGAACGACTCATTCATCATAATGAACAAGCTCAAAAAAAAAAAAAAGGTTTCAAAACAGAAAATGATTTCTTTTTTAGGAGAGAGAAAATGTAGTGAATACAAGCCATTTGTTCTATGAAAGAAAGAATGGTGTTCTCATCAACGTAACATGACCAATTTCCCAAAAAATAAAAAACAAAGAGGACTTCGAGTAATGAAAGGCTCAGAAAAATAAAAATTGGATGACCTATATTCACCAAATTTTCTCTTCCTAGAGAAATCCATTTTCCAAATTTTTTTCCAATTTTTCTCCTTTGCAATGTTTGCTGCGTTCAAGAGGGTGCACGTGCAAAATTGGGGGTTGAACAAAATACACACATATAGGCATTTTTAACTGAGTCTAACAACCTCGATGGAATAATCTCATTGCTATCAGAGATTTTTTCTGAAAAAAGTAGGAGTCCGATGGATCCCCAAGTATTGCACCCATGTGTGTCTCATTTAGGAGCTCCAAATAAAAGTTAAAAAAAAAAAAGAAGAAAAATCCCGAAAATGTCAGGCAAAATTTGTTAGTCATTGACAACCGTCCAGATTGCCCCATTTCCAATCTAGGCTATTGAATCTCTCTCCCAACTATTCCAGATGGGCCAGTGTGTAGATGAAGGACATAATCAACTATCCCTAAAAAACCTCTCCTTAAGGGCTTGTTTGATAATTGGAAGGTAAATGTCCCCTGGAAATTGGAAGTTCTTTGCTAGGAAGAAAGAAGTTATTTAAGGAAGTTCTGAGTGTTATTTAAGGAAGTTCTTTGATAAACTTGCTGGAAAGTTAAAGAAGTTATAGATAGTGTGTTTGACAAACTGTTGAAATATAAAGTCATGTTTATTTAAATATTATTAAAAGATTAATATATTAAATACTATTTAAATTTTATTTTTATATTAGACATAAAACAATATATAATATATATTGTATTGTTAATATCTATTACATACATAAAATATATTATACCACAAAATATATTATATTTTATATTATGCAATATATTATATTACATTAAATAAATATAGATAATATATAACAGCAGAAAACAAATATATGGTAATAATTTAAATATAAATATATGACATTTATAACATACTATAATATATAATATAGTGTCTTTTATATTTATTTTTCATAATATATAATAAAATATCTTATATTACATATATATATATATATATATATATATATATATGGTAATAATTTAAATATAAATATAAGATATTTTATAACATTCTATATTATATAATATAGTGTATTTTATATTTATTTTTCATATATATAATAAAATATCTTATATTACATATATATATATGGTAATAATTTAAATATAAATATGACTATAACATATAATATAGTGTATTTTATATTTATTTTTAATATATATAATAAAATATACTTATATTACATAAATTTATAATATATAAATATCTATTACATATAATATATATAACATAATATAATAAATAGGAATAGGAAA